CTGCCCCCCCCCGAGCCCTTGGCCCCCAGTTGGCCAGGATCCACACACACTGTGGGCTGTGGCCAGGGGCCCTTTGGGCTCTGTTGAGGCTGCGGTCCCTGTGCCTGCAGGTCTCTCCCAGGAGCTGACATGGTCGGAGATGCTCAGAGGGCCAGGCCCCAGGTGAGGCCATGTTGCCCCAGTGCTGGGGCTGCTGGGCCAGCGTGCCTGGCTGGCTCATGGCCCCAGCCCCGAGCTGTCCCATGGGAGCTGCTCACCTCTTGCACATGTACCCATGTGGGTACATGTGCAAGATGTGGGGTTTGCAACGGGACCAGCCCTCCTCCAGGCTTGTGGGGGGCCCTGTTCATCCATCTGCTCAGCCCTGCTGCTTTGTGCAGCCTTACAGGGGGAGTCCTGTGTCTCCCAAACCACTGTGGCTGTCCTGGTGCTCCTGCTGTCTCCAACAAGTTGGAAGGGCCAACGTGTGCTGTGAAACAGAAACACTACCCACGAGGCCAGCTTCTGCACCAACCCAGGCTTGCACACAGCTGACAGGGGTGGCAGCCTGCCTGGTGGTACAGATCCTCATCCTATGTCAAGGTTGGAGCTGGGGCAGGATTTCAGAAAGAGACTATGAATGCACATAGCAAGGAAGGATCTAGAGACCAAGTTGGGAATCCTCCCTGCCTCGGTGTGGCAGTCCTACGAGGTGTCTGTCTGCAGGGTGTTGCCCCCCCCCCATCCCCTGTACTGCTGCACTCTGGTGCTGCTCCATCTACAGCCAGACACAGGAGGCCCTGTTTCTGCCAGAGGCAGCCCTGTTCCTTCTGGAGGAGGCCTGGGGGGGCTCTGGAGATCCTCATCAAGGCGAAGAGGCTGCACCATCAATGGGAGGTTGCTCAGACCATCTGTGCCCCAGGCACTTGAGTCACCCCAGACAGCATCATACACAGCTCCCCATCCAACTTCTTCCTCAGCACATGCCCTGCCTTCCACGACCCACCTGGCACTGCTTGGAGCCACAGCCCAACTGCTTCCCCTGGAAGCAGAACCAGATCAGCGAGTGCAAGGTAAAGAAATACCACAAAGTCTGGCTTGGTGCACCTCCTGGCCCGGTGCATGGGTCCCACAGAGGAGCACATGAAGAGGAGGGTGGGCAGTTCAGCCTGGCCATCCCCTGCAGCTCTCTGGAGGCTAGCGAGGCAGGCAGCAGGCTGGGCGAGAGCTGGGGCTGCTCCGAGACAGCCTCCATCGAGATGGTGGGCTGGAGTTGAAGGAAGATCCAGCAGGAGCTGGCATTCAGGCCTGAGAATCATAGGCCCCTCACATCTCACCATCACCCTCGGGCGTGGGGAAAGGAGCCCTGAGCCCAAGCAAGTGCTCAGCCTCCTCCACGTCTGCCCCAAGCCCCTGTGCGGCCACAAGCCTGTGGCTAGTGGTTGGGGAGCCCCCCCCATGGGGCAAGGGTGCCCTGGAAGAAAGGGAGCAGGGGGTCTCTGGCTCTCCCTTTCGGGCTTTCCTAGGAAGGAAAGAATCTACCTCCTGCCTCAGAGGCACTAGAAGAAAGGATGACTGCCCTGGCTGATGAGGCTGGCCAGCCCCACAGCAGTCCCATGAGTACGGGACCGCCTTCTGCAGGAGGAGGTGGACTCCCACACCTTGCTTCTTGCCTTACACAGCTCCACTTGGCACAGGGGCTAGGCTGGCCATGAGGAATGTGTCCTGCCTTGGTGTGGCTCAGGACCATGTGGGAGGCTGCAAGCTGCCAGGAGAAGGAGCAGGGCTGGAGGAAGGGTCAAGCCAGCTCATGAAGCAGCCAAATCTCTTTATTACAACAGTCTGGAAGGAGAGACATCAGCCCAGCTTTGGTAAGAGCCAATGGAGAGGGAGTCCCTGTCTCCAGGAAGACCACCCATCTTATCCATGGTCAGCAGCACCCATCAGATACAGATGCATCATCTCTCCAATGTACCTTATGATGAATCTGCAGATACATCATATCTTCATCTTCTTCAAGGGGGGAGCCTGGAGGTCCAGCTGGGAGATGGTGCTGGCAGTGAAGGGGATGCGCTGGCTGATCCTCTTGCCGATAGTCTCCACCTGGAGTACAAGCCACCAAAAGCCTATGGGTGCCAGCCCTGAGCACACCCCTGGCCTGCAGGCCTCAGCCCCTGTGCCTGGGCTCACTAGCAGCTCTGCTGCCACTAAGGCCATACCTGGAAGCCAAGCTGCTGCAACCGGCCATGCAGGCTGTCCAGGATCCTCCTGCCATCGAAGATAAAGGCCGGCTTGAGCATGGCCTGGTAGATTCGCCCATAGTCCAGCTCCTGGAACAACATACAAGGGGAACTCACAAAGCTGAGAATCGGGACTGAAAGCGGTGGCTTCTCCCAGGCAAGACCACAGGGCTGCCGGGGGGCTCAGCCCCCTGTTTGGTAAGTCCTGGTTTGCACGCGGGGTGCAGGTGGTTGTAGGGTTAGAGGCTCCAGGGGATGGCTTGGACTTGAAGGGGGAGGAACAAACAATCCCACAAGGGGAAGGAGAATGTGGCAGAGTTGATGCCCAAGTAGAGTAACCACAAGGGCGCTGAGTCTTTCCAAGCAGCATGGCCAAGGCTGGGGCACCTTACCTTGAAGATGTCCCATTCAGTGCAGATCACGATGGCATGGGCATTGTCACAGGCCTCGTAGGGGTCTGAGGCAATGGAGACCAGGCTGAGCCCTGCAAGACAGGAAGCGGCACAGGCACAGCAGCATGCTACCTTCTGGGACACAACTGCTGGGGCCTGGGATGGCACCAGGGATCTGTGCCAAGCTTTCGGGCTGGGGAGTATCAGTGGCCTGCAGTCCCTGCCAGCCCAGGCAAACACTGGCCCTACCCCTCTCTGGATCCTCAGCTGAAGCAGTGGTGTGAGACAGGTCCTGCATGATCTGCTCCTTCTTCACTTTGGGGTCATAGATGTGCAGGCGGGCACCCTCATCCATCAGGTACTTGCTGATGTGGATGCTGGATGACTCCCTGGGCCGAGAGAGGGAGAGCTGAGCCATGCTGGGGGGGCCTGTGTGCCCATCTCAGGGTGGCAATTGTTTGCTGCAGCCAGCTGGAGCAAGAGCCAAGGCTATGCTAGCAGCCCTTGGTTTCCCAGCCCCAGTTCCTCTCGGCCTGGCCTTCAGGTTTCCTTTAAATGCTGCCTTTCACATTCCTCACAGGGCATCGTGGGAACATAATTTTACTGCTGCCCTGAGGTGGAGCTGCAGAGAGCAGGACACTCATCACATCTGTGACTGTTGAAGGACTGCAGGTAGGGGAATGGCCTGGCTCAGCTACTCCCTCACCCTCCACCAGCTGGTACCTTGTGTCCCCTGTGTCCTTTTTGAAGGCGAAGCCTAAGAGCGCGATCTTCTTGTCCGTGACAGTGTTGAAGAGGCAGCTGACAATACGGGCAGCAAACCGCCGGCGCTGGTATTCATTGAGTTCGATTACCTGGTGGGAGGTGCTGTGGCTGCTCAGGCCAGGTGCTGAGCCACAGCCCAGCAGCTGTGGTGAGTGCCAGCTCCCAGAGTGGGATGCCAACCCCAACCCTGGCCACGACAGGACCCTGGCCAGGCCTTACCTGCTGCCAATACCGAGCCACTTCAGGCAAGTTGAGAGCCTCACAGAGATAGACCAGGTTGAGGACATCTTTCTGGAAACAGCTGCCCCCAAAACCTGCTCTGACAGAGCACCATGGTCAGATAGTGCCAGTTGGAGACCCTAAGGGTTCCCTTGGAGAGGGGGTAACTGCAAACCTCTCTCTCCACCCCAGCACTAGGAGAGGCAGATGACAAGCTGGGACAGGCCAGGGGGACACCAGGGCTGATAAAGGACAAGTGAACTGCCAGGTAGATGCATCTCATCAGTCTACATGAGATGTCCCAGCCTAGATGCCAGTGCAGACCCAGGGATCTTCCTCATGCTTCCTGGGGCCGAGGAGCAGGGACCCCCTGGGCACAGCACGGTGGGCGCGAGGGCTGCAGTCACCCACTGGGGCAGAAGGTGCAGGACTCACCCACACTGGCCTTGAGGAAGCGGTTGCCAATGCGCTGATCTGTGCCAATGGCGTGGGCCACTTCCTCCACGTCAGCCCCTGTCACCTCACACAGGGCGCTGATGGAGTTGATGCTGCTGATCCTCTGGGCCAGGAACGCGTTGGCAGCCTGGACAAAGGAGATATGTGGGACCCTTGCCCACTTCTCTTGGGCCAGCTTAGGGATAGGAGCACGTACCAGCTTGGAGAGCTCTGAAGACCACGTGTTGGTAGTGATGATGCGGGTTTTGGGCACCCAGCGCACATAGATGCTGCTGAGGGTTTCGATCGCCCTTTGCCCCTCGGGCGTCTCGTCACCACCAATGAGGACACGGTCGGGGTTCTTCAGATCGGAGATGGCTGTGCCTTCAGCCAAGAACTCAGGGTTTGACAGGACCTGTGAGGACGAGACTGCGTGGGTGTGGGACGCTGTAACCTCCCCCCTTTCCAGTTCTTGCTGTCTCTGATCTAGCAATCAGATATGGGGGCCTCCCCTCTGATATCACATCTCCCTGTGATTCCCAGCCACCCTCTAACTTGTGATCTCCCAGGATCTTTAGCATTCAATGGCACTGGAAGTGAAGACTCTGCTCCAGCAGGCCGCCCACCCATGCTGTACCTGGAAGGACAGGTCAGATTTGGTGTTCGCATTGAAGATCCGCTGGATGCTCTCAGCTGCTCGCACAGGCACTGTGCTTTTCTCCACCACAATCTTGTAACCTGTGGCTACCTGGGCGATGCGCCGGGCACAGGCCTCGATGTACTTCAGATCAGCTGCCCGGCCCTTGCCGAGCCCGAAGGTCTTGGTGGGAGTGTTCACCTGCAGAGAGAGCCAACACATTGGGAGAGTCGAGCGGCCACAGCAGTTGGAAAGAAAGGAGGTCACTGTTGTCACCAAGACCCAGAGAGGCACACAGCATGGGGCAGGTCTTAGCCATGGGCTGCCCTCCCCCCCTCACCGATATGAAGATGATGTCAGCCTCTCTCACTGCCTTGTCGATATCAGTTGAGAAGAAGAGGTTGATGCCGCGCTGGGCCTCCACCACCTCCTGCAGGCCAGGCTGCAAGAAAAAGGAACAGGCGTGGGCCCCTGAAAGCAGGGATGCATGGTAGA